GTTTTCGATTCGAGCGTTAACAAGTTTCCTCTTCCTGCACCCCTTTCGTCGCTCTTTACTACCGCAAAACCCTTGCCCATTACTAACTCTTCCGCACCCGCAGACGTTCGTTTCCGCCAATGACATATTATCTTTCATGCTCCCCGCTCGAGCTATTCCGATTTTTTAGGATAATTTGCGTTTCTTTGTAAGTAATACAATCTATGCTGACGTGAACATTTTTTCGGAGAATTATGATTTATATCTTTTAATTAAAATTGAAGCGTTTTTTATGTAACTCGATACTCTACGAGATATCAAATCACATAAAAAAACATGTTATTTAATTTAATTTAAATATAACATTGCCAATTATTTTATTAGAAATATCTTCTTTCGTTGGTTGAATTCTGATTAATATTTAAAAGTACTGTGGCTTATTGTTAGACATACAGTAGAAACGCTCGCTGTCTAAGAAAAAATATATAATTGCTTGCTGTATATATATAAAATTTTAAATACATATAATTATATTGTTTATAATTACAACATTGCTTATATTCTCTATTCAGTTTTTATTATAATTAGTTTTATTTTTTTTTTAGACATATTTTTTTTCTTTTATATTTCCACATATTTAATTGGCGGATGATGTTTGATAAAAATACAAGATTTTTTTCGTAAAATGAAAACTACATTTTTCTTTTTCAAGTGCATTGTATTTCGTGTTACAAGCATGCTTGTGCAAAAGGACAGTTAGAATGAACGAGCTAGAAGGGGGATTAAACTTGTCGACGATAGGTTGTTTTATGGGCACACGCAAAGCAGTTTTTACCATAAGTGTATTCATATCGAGAGCGAGAACTCGAACATTTGCGCGCCTACCTATTCGTTTATTACTCTCGACTGCATGAACTACTTCTCACATAGCTTTTCAATTAAGTCAAGCGGCGCAGACACCATTGTACTAGAGCCTGTTTCAATTAAACTCGCACGCACATGTATCGCGCTAATAGAGCCCAACAATTTAGTACCTTCCGCGTAAAAAGTAAAAAATAAAAAAGGATCTTTTACATCCATTTTCGTTGACGAGGTATTTCGCTTTGTTTACAAGGGTTATCATTATCTTAAATTGTATTGCGCGTATTTCGGTGTCTGTTGCATTTTTTACGCGAAAAATATATAGTCGATATTTTATGAAAGTTTAAAATATTCTGTTTTTAATACAGTAAAAAGTAAATAGACTCCATTGCTGAAGCTAATTTTGGAAATAAAATATGTAGTAGAATTTAATTATGAAGAAATTAATTGAATTACCTAAAGATCTGATAATAAGTGTCTTTGAAACTAAAAAAGTAATGTCTAAATTTTCAAAAATTAATAATCTGTAAAACTAAATAAATCCTGATACTTAGATTACATAAGAATCTTACGCAAATTGAGAATGTAATGTCAATGCAAACATATCGTGTGTATGAGATTCCACAATTTAACTTTATTTTTGTCAAAATGTTAATTAATAAATTGAAACAAGTAGTCAAATTTAAAATATATAAGAGATTTTTATCTTCCTTCATGAGATATATAATTTTTTTTTTTTTTGTGAATCTCCCTTTCTTTCTTCTTTAACAATTATCAGATCAATGTATTTGATTGTGATTTTATCTCAACGAGTTTCTCTCAATGATGAAAGAATTTTCCATCAATAGGCGAATTCACCACGATAGATGGAATCTTGATCGAAGAGGAGCTCTGAAAGAGAGAGAAAGAGATCTTGAAACGAAAGTGAGTGACATTTATTTAATTACTCGAGATTCTATTACCATCGGACAATGGTGGTTTGCACTATACCGCCGAGTTGTGGCTATCCACATTTATTGGGATGTCTGTCGTACAGCTAATAGTGTTAGTTATGACGTGAAAGGACTTTAAGATTTTTTTATGTACAAAGTTGAAATTAAAAAATTAAAATAGCAAGACGATTTTGAAGCTATAGTATTATTTATAAATTGTATAAATTTATTTTGATTAAAATATTATTTATTATTTTTGTTGAAAATACTGTTTATTTTTAGCTTGATATTTAGGGCTAAGTAAATAGATGGAAAGAAACTCTCTGATTACCGTGCCTTTAAATCTGGAGAAAAATGGTCAGAAAGATCAGTCGGGATTATCGTCGCGTAATTGAAAAGGATAGAGAGACCTGCTTCGTGTGTTTTACAACTTGGAAAATGGGGCGCTGAATATAAAAAGCGTTTTTATCCATTATCCCTATTTGCAATGTACCAAAGTATATATACATATATAAGTGTTTTTGTTGGTAGAAATTTAAAAGATAAATATTTTCTGTATAAGAGAACAGGGAGAGAGATTCCATTCCAATAAACTTGGTATATCTTCGTCCCTTAATTTCTCTTTTAATATGATAGTGCTTTAATATTATTTAATATTATTTATATGTATCTTTATACACACATAGATGAGCTCTTTTCATATAAATAATAAAACACATTTCGCAAATAACGTATTAAAGGAAGGAAAATATCTTTAAAAAGATAATACTTTTTTGCAGTACATATATATTTGTCATTTGTTAATTACTTTATATTTTCAATGTATTTTTCAGAGATATTATTTATATTACTAATATATCTATGTATATAAAATCTATAGCATAAAAATTTCGTTATAAAGTAATATCAAAAATTCTTAGGAAATAATCTGCATACTTTTATAGTCATATAATGCGGCCATATTCCAATGACTTTTTATTGTGTGTTTTGTATGTGTGTATGGGGGCGGGAGAAGGGGGGTTCTCGCGTAAAACAATATGATCTTTTTTTTGTCGATTAATACATTGATTCATATTATGTGTATGTTCGCATTGACTACAATAATAGAGAAAAGAAAAGATAGAGAAAGATAAAGAAAGATAGAGATAAAGATCAATTGCAGGTCTTTTATGTATGATAATGTTATCTTGCGATTGGACGCTACGGTAATTAAAGTCATTAATTTAAATAAGAAAATAGTCGCGTATATATATAGTACAAGAGAGAAAACTACTAGCACACAACGAGATCAAACTATTCTCGAGTCACTCGCTCTGGGGACGCGTTTAAACGGGAATTTAATTTTCTGAAATCTCTCGACGATTTGAGTATAGCACGACCGAGACTTATCGGATGACTGAGTCGACGATTAGTATTTTCTGCAACAATAGTTTTTTGGTCGAGTCGTTGAAAATTATGTTCGCTCTTCGCCAACTAATTACACAAAAAATAAGGCAATTTTACGTGTCGTTCTTTTGACATGTACTTATGCAGATTATAATACCAGCATTAATTACCAACTGCTAATTTATATTTGCTACGAAAAGAATTGTGAATAGATTTAAAAGATTGATTAGATTGATATAATACCTCGTATTGAATACATAAATTTGATTCTTAATCCTCTATCTCTTATCTATTACATATTAGGTGCTATCAAATATAAATATTATGGATAGCTTTATATTGGATTTGGTGTAATTGAGCGAATTAATCTGGCGAGAAAAAAAACCAATTGGTAATTGCTTCAATGTTATACGATCACAATTCGATTGTTAGTAATTAGCCTTCAGCAGAACCGAAGAGGACCAAATTGCAAATTTGCAAATATTGAAATTATAACGTAAACGCGCATGAACTCTCGTATCTCCAATCAAGTGTGATCTATTAACGTTGTATATGAATCACATCTTGCGTTGTTGATCGATAATTATTAAACACCTTGTGTACTGCGATACAGCGTGTTCAATCCTGTGAATATGGCTTCATTGTACATCAATCGAAAAGGATTATTATTCCGCTTGGCGAGATGTCTCGGTTTGGACCACTATCACATGCGATGGTTCATCTCATAAGCTCGTCAAGCGGACTCCATAGAGATAAAGCGATATTATATCACGATATTAAAACAGTCATGATAGTTTGACATATTTAGCACCTCTCGCGTTGATGAAACCGCGAAAGCAGCTTAAGTTAAAATGTAATTGTCATGTGACTGTAATTACGTTAACGCATGATATATCCTTAATTAGCGAAATTAACTGGAAAACACAATGGCACAAATTGAATAAATCTGTATCCAACGAGTCTTTAGCGATGTAATTGCGTGCGTTATAATATATAAGTTAACGAGTAATTAAAATTTATTGGTCGTTTTAAACATGAAATACAGATGCATCTAAAATACATCACGACGATGAATTATAATATAATATCTAACAATTAAAAATTTTAATAGATATGCAAACAGTTACAGTTGAATAGAAGGTATCACTTAATTTATTATTGAGTAATAATTCTTTAATACCTATAAAACATTTTTTTGGTCATTTTTTTGCAAACGCAGAAAATGTATGTAAATAAAGCATAATCATTTCTTAAAACAATCTAATGTTTCCCGTTTGCTGAGGTAATTTCGTTGTAATGTTCGGATTCATGCGATCAACTACGATTTGACAAATGAGAAAACCGCTTGGAGTTTTCCTTTCAATCATCACAGTTCTGAATTTGCTTTTACTTGTAGACGCTCGTCGGAATTTACCGATAAATTACATTCGAGGCATTTTAGTTGAATTACTTTGTCTGAGCGTTAGATTGTTTAAGTGATTGCCATTCTCTCGGAAATGACTATGCCATTGTTTAAATAGCTTTAACGAACAGAGAAAATGAAGTTCTTTTTTCTCCTTTTTTTTCTCTTTTTTATGCAAATTATATTTCTTAAATAGCTAATTTTGATTATTGTGTTTATTAGTTATTTGATTTTTTACTTACCCCTTTTTCGAAATATTGACAACATATTTTCTTAATGGATTTTTTAAATTACTATAATATTATTAATTTTTATACATTTTTATTCAATTGCGACAAAATAACATAATTAATTTATAAAATTTTAAAAATCTTTATACAAATGTCAACATAAAAAAATCATACTTTAGGGAAATGTGTTTGCTATTTTAATTAAAATATCTGGATATTTTTTGTAATAATGTGTGTGTGTGATTATGAATTAATTAATTTGTAAAATAATTTTGCTTATTCTCGCAGTGCCATCAGCATTCGATTTTATATCAATCTCTATTAATTATTTATGATTTTAATTAATTTTATTAATAATTAAGCCTTACCTACATTTACAATGCTTTATTTGTTATTCGCACAACCGAGAAATCTTAAGTATTAAAAGTATAATAGTATTTTATAAATTTTTCTAATTTGAGATAAGACATATTTTATTAAGTTATGCATCTTAATTAAATAAATATACGTCTTAATTTAATATATACAAAGTCAGTAAAATGTCATTGAAAATATCTTTCTGAAATATATAGCGGACATATACACACGTAATTATTACACATAGTATCAATATAGGAATTAGTCTCTCTTATGGTTATATTAAAGTTTAATTATAGTTACATAACATCTTTCTTACACAATTATTAATCTAAATAATTTATTAATAAGTTTTTAATAATACATGTAATGTATGTGTTATTCTTATAATTGTAAGATACCGAGAAAAAGTGATATAATATGGTCAGATGTATATTTACATCTAATTGTATTATACCATTTGTTCTCGGGATTATACGAAATCAATATATAATATTCAATATATAATATACAATATATAAAGATTTATTTTAAATCTTATTCGCACAACAATATGTTTCTAAAATACTAATTACAAAAAGTTAATACATATATTATGTACGTGTGTATTATTATAACTATTCACATATATTTCAACATTATTAATTTTTGTTTAAACACATAATAGTATTTTAATTTTTATAAACTCACAATTTCATTATTATCAGATTAGAGAAAGAGTTTTTCTTATATTATAGTAAAATAATAATAACAATTTTTTTAATTGTTATGTATTTTTGTCAGAAATATTGTACGTGGCAGGTAAATTGTTGTTACTATAAACTCGAATTATTGCCTTTTTTATAGTTTAGAATATTACTTAAAGTTGCTTTAAGATAAGAGTTTTTTCTCTATGGGTAATTAATTTGAGTTATCAACTGGCAGTATATTCATGGACGCGATTTTAATTGTAATTTTTGAGCATAACTGTATAATTAAAATATTAATTATAATTAATAAATATTTTAAAAATATTTATTGTTTTAAAAACACTTAAAATCTGAGATCAAGCAATTTTCGTCAGTTTATATTATTTATGTATTTATGATAACAGGACAATCCTAAATCCTAAATTAATTATATTATCAATATTAGTAACAGCCACGTAGAATCAACGGAACCAAGCACAACTTTTGTTTACAGAACTCAATGTCCCATTTGCATCAAACTACTTGTTAGAAACTTGGAAAGTTATAAGGAGTAAATAATACCTGATTCTGATGATGAAGTGTTGCCTGCTTCGCGACAAGATTTCAGCGCTAAATTCATTCGCCAAGATGTATATTTCGCGGATGTAATACTCTACAAAGCGTGAAAATCTTTGAGAAGATTTTAAATTTTGTATTTTAAATTTAAGAACTTTTTTATAAAAGAATATACATTGCTAGATACTAGGTTAAAAATTATTTTATTATTACTATATTCATAAAAATATAAATGGAATTTACGCGCCTATTCTTCGCGAATAAATTTAGTTTCTGAAGATTTTACTTTGATATAAATAGAAACGATAAGTTTTTATGAAAAAATCATCTGTTTCAATGTGCGAGAGTTTATGATGTCCAACGACACAGGACTGCAACTTGGTTCTCGAAGTTTGCGAGTAAATTTGTCCACGTCGAAAGACGACCAAATCTCATTCCGCGGATATTATTCACTCGTTACGAGTTCAAGCGGAGTTTCTATCAAGTAGTGTCACTTGGATAAGACGTTTCTTTAAACGAAAGTTACATGGTTACGTGAAACTTTGCAGTCCTCCTTGGATTTCACCACCCGGGATACAGAGACTCTTGGAAAAAGGTCTGCAGTTGAATCTCTCGCTTTAAGTTTATTTGCAAATAGATTTTTCTTTGATCCCGAGCGGAATCTGTCACATTTTTCTTCGCGACGGTTGAATTTCATCGTCAGAGTCAAATAACTTTAACGTACGAGAAGCAAGATATGTTGTAGGTCAGGTTAAAAATATCTTTTGATACGCAAATATAATATTTCGAATCGTCGAAAAAAATTATAGGTGTGCAAGCTTGTTTCACGCGAGCTCATTTGCATTCGACTTCTGTTTCGCGAAAATAGCGGTTTATGCTAATCACGTGGCATGGCAGATGAAAGTCTGGAAGTACCGTCTTACATCTGGAATAATTAGGAGAGCCGTAAGAATCAATATGGTGTTGCTCCATGTAGTTGCGGTAAAATTTCGTTGATCATCTCCGTGCATGGCCGCTGGTTTCTCTTCCTCTGTGAAAACAGATAAGATTGCTAATGAGATGAAACTCAAATATATGGGAGAGAAAAGCGATTCGATATGCAGAATGTTTTAGATATATCCGGCTAAATTTTAGCAGCGTAAACGAAAGCGATAAAGGAAAATGTCATATAAACATTGATCGGTAAAGATTTTTAAAAACATATTAAATTAACAATCACAAAATGTATGTTTATATAATTGCAGATAATATAAAATTAAAATTATATTTAGGGCATATATTTAATTTTCAAATAAATAAAAATTTAAGACACAATTCTTTATTCGTCAATTACGTTATTGATTATTGTATACTGAGTGTACATAAAATTGTACACTGTATTTTTACGTAAATGTACATTTCCCTTTTAATACATGGAAAACTTTGAATGGTCGCCCGTTGATCCCGACCGGGATTGAATAATCAAAGTAGGTTAACTCTCCCTGTTGACTAGAAAAAATGGGCGACCGGCCTCATATACAGCCATTCTTCGAGATTGAGGACGGTTTGCGAATTTTACGGCCCATAAGACTCGCCCTATACTCCGACACAATGTCTGTTTTTGCCCGAATCCAGATTTCGCGCATATATGTGGAGCATAAATAAACGTCTCCTTAATGGTTCGAGGAGAGAAAGGGAGCTAGTGCTCGGCAATCTCGATGATCAACGAGAAAGTTTTTTGAAAGATTGGGCCGATGGAAAGAGAATGCAATGAAATCGATGGGGCGTAAAGAAATATGATAGAGCATTGTTGATGTATGTGTCACACTGAATCATATAAACATAAATTAAATGTGTACATATCTTTACATAATTTTAATTTTGATTATAATATATATTAGATTATATCAGGTCTACCGGAAAGTTCTGTCCGTTTTTGGAATAAAACAAAATTCAAATTTTTATTACCGTCAATAAACTTTATTAAATAATGTAATTGCCATTATTCGGAGAAGTATTGTCAGCAACTGGATAATTTAAATACAGCAGTCCAAGAAAAGAGGCCGGCGATGTTCAATAGGAGGAACATCATACTGCATCATGATAATGTCAGGCCACATGCTGCTTTGGGGACTCGTCAAAAAATTGCAGAACTAGGCTGGGGAATTCTGTCGCATCCACCATATTCCCCGGACTTAGCACCCTCCGACTATCATTTGTTTTTGTCCTTACAAAATTTTTTGAGGGGCGAGAAATTCAAAAATGAAGAAGATATCAAACAAGCACTGGTTCAATTTTTCGTATCAAAAGATAAAACATTTTTCGAAAATGGGATATGCAAATTGCCCTCACGCTGGCAAGAAATTTCTCCGAATAATGGCAATTACATTATTTAATAAAGTTTATTGACGGTAATAAAAATTTGTATTTTGTTTTATTCCAAAAACGGACAGAACTTTCCGATAGACCTAATATATATACGCTGATATAATTGTTTAAAAATCTAAAAACATATTTAATGTTTCTTTCATATTTTTTCATGTCCATTGTTAATAATATTAAATTAAAATAATTAGACAATAATAAAAGCTATGTGTATGTGTATGTGTGTGTTTATGTGTAAGTATAATATTGAATGCATTATACATTATTACTGTCATGTATACACCGGATAGTCCAACTGATCCGATCCAACTGATCGGACGAAATTGTTTGAATATCCGGAATGAGAGAATAGATTTGTGATGCTGTATCCACGCTCAACAATTGCTTACCCTCGATGACGTGTATCATGATATGAGTCGACCTGGCATTATTCGGCGAGCATGTGTAATTGGCGCCGTGCGAAAGCTTCACCTTCTCCACAATGAGTACTGAACCGTTTCTCTTCATCTCGAATCTAACACCAGGTTCGTTATCATAGTTTATCATACGTATTCCACGATACCAGAATACGTAGTTGGGCGATTCCGCGGCTGCCATCAGCTGGCATTCCAAACGCAGGCTGGAGCCCTGTTTCACATGGAGATCCGGACCACCTGGTATCACAGAGTACGCTTCCGTGATGTTTAGACGTACAAATCGTTGCTGCACTGGTACCGTTTGTATCTATTATATTAGAACATAAGAAAATATATAAATTATAATTTATAAAGTATATTGCCTTTTAAAGACATTAAATATTTAAATAAATTTGATAATTAAAATTAAAAAAACCGAATAGTCAGTTTCAAGTTTTATTTTTTTATTTTATCATAACTTTGCATATAACCATGATAATTCTTAATTTCATTTATCGTTTACTATGTAATTGATTTTTTTTCTATAATGTTATTTAATTTGTTAAATATTTTTATTATCTTTATTTGTATTTATCTAAGATTATATTTTAGATTTTT